ATTGTAAGAAAACGTCAAGTGCAGACTTGAGTCAAATTCATAAGTGTCGTTTCTGCAAATTTGAACATGCAAAAGCAATACCAAGGTAACATGTACTCTAAACCTATATTTAACTATTTATTAAAAATAACACTTCATTTAACAAAACTTACTATGTAATTTAATTAACTTCTCTATATAGGGTAACTGCTTTCGTACATATTGAAGACAACTCTGGAGGCTTGGATGTAACCATAAAAGGAGAAATCGCAAAAACTTTATTGGAAGCAAATGCCGTCCAAATTATGAACCATTTTGAAAAGGTTAACTCCAAATACTACTAAATTTTTAATAATTATTTGCATTTACTTCATCATATTAAATGAGTATAATTTTAATATTTCAGGACGTGGATACACAACTAAAAGATCTCATAAGAACTAACAACGAAGAAGAACATCTTTTTTACCTAAAAGTAACACCAAGAAGCCAAAATCCACTTGAATACCGATATGAAATTATCTTCATATTCAACTCTTCGACAACAACTGACATTGATTCTTAAAGTACAATCATAGAATTGGATTCTTCTCTTGTAACAACTGATGATAGTTCAGACAAAACATCTACGAAAAGTAAAGAAAAGATGTGCATCACAAATAATCAAGATTCTACAAACGCCGACGAAGTGCTTGCATCAAATGCAAAGAGGGCTCTCTTTCAAACTTGAGACCAAAAAATCGAAACTCGTTCCAAGAAGAAAATGAAGACTGATAAACACGTTGAAGATGCTGATGTCCTTAGCTCTGGATAAAACCTCAACTCACGTTCGTTTTGTTTTGGGATAATAGACAATCTAACAGTAGACACTTCTGTGATTCTACAAGCAACCTATAATCTATAAATCTCCAGTAGAATAATGAGTCTTAGATTCAGTTATATGATTTTAGTTTCTAAACAGAACGGGTTGCTTTAGATATTTTGGTATGTTTTTGTTGTTAAAAATGTAAATACTGTGAAATCACAGAATTGTACTCGACCCATGGTTGACACTAATATATAAAACTTCTTTTGCTATCGATAAAGAATAGTTGTGTAAAATATATATATTTTACTTTATCTATTAGTTAAATATTATCTCCTCCTCAATTTCGCTTAATCGAATACGTAATCAAAACACAAGTTCAATATACTTGCATTTTTCATTTTCTAATTTTCTAAATTAATTTCTTTTTTTCTTTGTTCCAATAAAGTTTACCTAGCTTTTAAATAATCTTTTAAACAAACTGTTTCGTTTATATAGTTAATTGGTAATTAATTATATCGTTTATATAACTGTACTCTTTGTGCAAACTCTCTCTTTTATTTAAAAAAACTAAATAATTTAACAAAATAAGAAAAAATATAAATTTATTCATTTTCTTTTAATTGCATGCTTGTAAAAAACTAAATTCACCTCTACTTTCTTTTAAAATATAAATATTTAATTCATTAAGAAAATACTATGTTACGATAAAGTATTTTCTTTTTTATAAACTTAATAATTATAACATATGATAAAGGAAGAATTAATTTCATTGATCTAAATTATTTCACATAGAAAGAATTATGTAACATGATAATTCCCAACAAGATACGTACTACATTCAACAGTTTAACTACTTATGTCCTATCATTTTATTATGAATAAAAAACAGCCTTTTTAAATACATATTTCAATTTATCTATTACTTAAACATAGTTTCCTCTTCAATTTTACATATCTTAAAACATAAGTTCAATATACTCACATTTTTCATTTTGTAGTTATTCAACAAAGTCTACTTACCTCCTTTTAAATGAACTTTTAAACAATTTTTTTAATTTATACCGTCAATTATTTCATTCAATAAATATTTTCATAAACTTACATCAACAATTACATATAATTTTACTTTTCATGCAAACTCTCTCTTCTACATATATAAATAAACGAAAAAAATACGATTTTACAAAATCCACAACAAACAGAAAATAATTCATAAGTAAAAAACACCAACAAAAAAAAAATATTCTCTCTAATTAAAATAAAAAATGAAAAAAAAAATTAAATAGTAAATGAAACATTTGTACATTTCAACTACCCATATTGTAGTTAACAACATCTATCTACCCACATTTAAACTACTATCCAAACTTACCTATCCACATTTACGAACCAACATTCAAAATACTACCTACCCACATTTAACTACCCATATTCAACTATTTAACCATCCTTTCACTACCATTTCACACGTCTCAAAAACATTTTCTTTCAATTTTCAAAGTTCTCAAAAGGAAACTAAGTTCAACCACCAGGAAGAAAGGTAATCTTCTTTCCAATGAAAATAAATTTCGAATATATTTATCGTATAGAGAATATGTGGTTTATCAATTCTATTATATTAGGAAAATCATGCAAAATTATGTGTCACTTTTCTTTACTGCAAGTATTTAATCTGCATTATATACATGAATAGTATAACATACCATGTTTGTCACTGCATAGTCAAACGAATGAACGCATGCAATCCATCACTTCCACCATGTCTTGGGATAAGAAAAAATGTAGAGGAATTCAAAGAATATTTTGGATACAAATTCATCAGCCAACAAATTCTTCAATAATATGAATATCAAAGCTAAAATGAAACCTAAAACTTATTCATGCAAATCTCAATCATTTTCATTTGGCCAAAAAATATTGAATCTATCACTAGCTGTTGAGCAGCTCCTCTTACTGAACCTCAAGTTTGTTAATATCTCGAAGAACATTTACTGAATCTCAAGTTTATTAATATCTCGAAGAACATGAAAAATTTAAATTTAGAAAGCTGCTTGGAGTGACCACGCTCCGGACTGCGCAAAGGTCGCTTCGGGCTGCGTGGGGTGATCTTGGCACCTTTATGCTCGGTGTTGCGCGAGAGATCACTCCGCGCAGCCCGAAGTGTTCAACACTCCGTGCTGCGCGGAGTGTCCCAGTTTTTGGGACACTCCGCGCAGCGCGGAGTATTCCTTTGGGAACACTCAAAACGTTACATTAAAAAAAATACATTATACCCAAAAAATTATTATTTATAAAAATTTAAAACAATTTACAATAAATACAACTTATAATATAAAACTCATCTTTCATTATTTATAAAATTAAAAATATTTTACAATAAATACAAATTATTATATAAACAGTCATCGTAAAATTTTTCGTAACCCTTTTAATTTCATTAAATAATTATATTCTTTTCCAAAATTCGACTTAAAAATACATTTTTTATATTTAGAATTTTAATATCAAATTTCCATATTCAAGAATAAAATTTTACTTTCATTAAATAATAATATTTTTTTCCTAAATTCGACTCAAAAATACATTTTTTATATTTAGAATTTTAATATCAAATTTCCATATTCAAGAATAAAATAAAATGCGAGGGGTAAATATATTTTAACATTCCTTGTTAAATATTTATTTTTAATCTTTTAATTATAACATTTAATTTCTCGAATTTAGTACTTCAAAAAAATACAAATTTAACACATTTAATATAATTTCTTTTCTACGATCAACTACCACGTCTAATGTAAAAAATTTCAATTATCTATTAACATCAAAAAATGTTTCTTTTACTTAATTAATTTTTTAATTACTATAATTCTCAATTACATTATACCATAATTTTTTTTATTAAAAACCCTTTCACAAAAAAATACAAATTTAGTTTCTCGAATTTAGTACTTCAAAAAAATACAAATTTAACATATTTAATATAATTTCTTTTCTACGATCAATTACCACGTCTAATGTAAAAAATTTCGATTATCTATTAACATCAAAAAAAAATTTCTTTTAATTAATTAATTTTTTAATTACTGTAATTCTTAATTACATTATACCATAATTTTTTTAATAAAAACCCTTTCACAAACATACATATCTTCATTTTTATTTATTTAAATTATACATATAAATTCATTTTATCTAAAGGTGAACATAATGAACTTAATCAAAATTTTCGTTTTTCTATGTTTTATACACATATAGTTATTAACTATCATTTGATTTATTTTATCTTTCGTATAATTTTTTCTTTAAATATATTGCATAAATATTAAAGTTAACAAATTTTATTAATTCAAACTACATATCAATCATAGTACAAATTATGTTGTTTCGATTTATATATTGTACTATTATATTTCTAATATGAAACTGTAAAAATATCATAAAGTTTCATACAATTGTAACCAATTATCCTTTCCATCACAATATATATATAGAGTTTCACATCAAACACAAAACACAATGGTTCAAATAGTATAGATATAATACTACATTTTTTTTCTTGAATCGCAGTTTCTAAAATGTTATTCATCATCACGAACAAAATTAGCCAGTTTCTAAAAAATTATGTTACATTAGTATATGAATAAATTTGTTGACTACTAAACAGTTTTTTTATTACTTTTTGCAGATATCACTAGAATACATATTATCTCCAAATCAATGGTTCTCTGCTACAATTACTCAATTTGCAAATCATCAATATTTTAAAGATTTTGTAGAACTTATAAATGCAGATGATCAAGCCTCTTTATTGTGCAGTCCATTCCATGAATTCATTTGTGGAAATATGAATAAGAAACAAAACGACAAATTTAGCAGCAAGTTAACACATGAGTTTATAATGAGACTTATAAACTGTGGTAAAAATAACGAAGTTTGGGTACAACTAGACGATCGTGTAGCTCGTTTTGGCCTACAAGAATTTTGTCTCATAACTAGATTGCCATGTCATGAACCTACTGTTGATCTAAATTTTAGTAATACTCGACTTAGAAATGAATACGTCGATGGTTCAAAACGAATAACAATGATAAGACTTTCTGAAGTATTTCATATATGTAAAGATCGAGAAGATAAATTTAAGTTAGGATTAGTTATGTTTGTCGAATGTGTTTTAAAACCAACTGGAAGACACATCGATTACAGAACTCTCGGAATGGTTGAACAGCTTGATGAATTTCTTATGTATCCATGGGGATGTAAGGCATATTTTGTTCTATTACATTCATTACAAGAATCACAACTTGAAAGAATACGAAGAATGCAACAAAATAACCAAGCAGAATGTAAATATTCATTGCATGGTTATCCACTTGTATTCCAGGTAATTTTCTTACATTTATTCCCTATTCGATATAATTTAATCATGTAAAAAACGTTAATATTCCTTTTTACTTATATTTCAGTATTGGATATACGAAACTTTTCCTAAAATTGGACGACAATTTGGTCACCGTATCCGTACAAGTTTAAAATGTCCACGAATGCATAAATGGCAGCCTCAAATGGTATTAGCGGAAAATGTTATTAAAGAATTTTTAGCTACTGAAGAGGTATGTTCATTTCAGTATATAATTAAATATATCTTTTATTCTTTATAAATAACTTTTATAGAATACGTCTGATATTTTATTACAATATTACAATTATAGATTACAATAATTGCAACGTTAAATCCTATTGAAGCAGAATTGGAAACATTCTGGTATACAACTCTTTCACTACCAATTGACAACCAATATTGTACACTAGACAACATTGTCAATGGTGAATTGGAAAATACAACAGAACAAATTCGAGCATATAACATACATCCACAAGAAACAACTGTACACAGTTCAAATAGAATTGAATCTACTTCTTCCGGTACTTCAGACTATGTAACTAAACAAGATATGGAACAGATGTTCAATATACACAGACAAGATGTCTTTGGTTTCTACGACAGCTTGAAAACACAGATGATTCAAGAAGCAACAAAGCAAGAAGCTCAGTATCATACGATTCTTGAAAATCAACAAACTCTCTGTCAGACACTTCTTGACAATCAAAAACAATTTTTTGAAGTGCAACAAAAAAATCAACAGGAACATTTTCAGGGCATACAATCAGACATGCATTCTTATGTAGATACCAGTTTCGGTTTAATGAAGTCTTACATTGTTTGAAATGCCTTCAACATCTGAACATGCAGAAGACGTCGAAAGATCAACAAAAGAAAAAAAAGGTAAGCAAAAAGAGACACAATCTCCATCACCAACGGCAGCGAATACTTTAGAAGATTATAACATCGACAAATACAAAAACATTAGAGAATGGATATCAGAAAATCCATCAGAGTAAGATATTAAATTTAAGATCAACAAAAGAAAAAAAAGGTAAGCAAAAAGAGACACAATCTCCATCACCAACGGCAACGAATACTTTGGAAGATTATAACATCAACAAATACAAAAATTTTAGAAGATTATAACATCGACAAATACAAAAACATTAGAGAATGGATATCAGAAAATCCATCAGAGTAAGATATTAAATTTAACTTCGTTAACTTAAATATTCTATTTCGTATTTTACTTATTTAATAACAATTTCATTTTCTCTTATATAGTGCATACTGGAAAGATGAAATCGGCAATCAATACGCAAGACATTCGCTGATAAATATAATAAATCAAATTAAAGATATAAATATTGTGGTGAGTCAACTTTAGCAATCTTAATTAATTTTACTTCGTTATTAATATAGCTAATTTAAATTTTTTTTACTAGCATATTGATATAGAATTAAAGCTGTTGCGAAGACTCATTTATGATATATCTTCCCCGGTTTCCAAAGAATATGCAATCATGGACTTTCGATTCGAGAATGAGTGTTCATTGGTACACAACGATCAAACGAGAAGCAACCGCTTCTGTGAATAATTTTCAGGCATTAGAGCAATACACAAAAATAATAAATCAAATTAAAGATATAAATATTGTGGTAAGTCAACTTTAGCAATCTTAATTAATTTTACTTCGTTATTAATATAGCTAATTTAAATTTTTTTTACTAGCATATTGATATAGAATTAAAGTTGTTGCGAAGACTCATTCATGATACATCTTCCCCGATTTTCAAAGAATATGCAATCATGGACTTTCAATTCGAGAATGAATGTGTTCATTGGTACACAACGATCAAACAAGGAGCAACCGCTTCTATGAATAATTTTCAGGCATTAGAGCAATACACAAAAGGAGAATTACCTACATTTGCTCGACCCTGGATAACATACAACTATTTATTAATTCCAGTCGCATATCCAGGCAATAGTTGGTTTATTTTTCTTGTTGATTTTGAAAAGTGAAAATTTATAATAAGGTAAAAGCATTACCAAAATAAATGTCTATATTCATTAATTAATTCAATCTCAATTTTTTCTACATATACTTTAGTCTTGTTTCTTTCTACTTCTGCTAATAGCTTTTCTCTTGCTTTAATAGGTATGCCCTATCATGATTGATGTTGAAACCAAGAAGAAAAAGCTTTTCATCACCCATCATGTAAGTATCATGTATTCAAATATCAAGTATATCAAAGAATTGCCGTTTTCACAATTTCTTATCAATGTTTCATTTTCTTCCTTTTGTAATAACGCTATTAACTTTTGAAAGTGATCATTATAATCTCATTTGAATTTCAATTTTCTTTCTCTACAAGCTTAATTCAACTTTTGAAAGTGATCATTATAATCCCATTTGTATTTCAATTTTCTTTCTATACAAGTTTAATTCAACGTATTTTAAATACAATCATTATGCAAATAATTTATATATTCGTTAAATGTATTATCATTATTCAATAAAACGATTAAAAAAATTGATCATATGAATTTTTATAGAATTTTTATCAACCCTCATAGTAATTTCTTTAGCAATCTATATATTTATAAGATTAAGTTAAATAATCTATAATAATATTATTTATTTATTAACTACTGCAGATAAAATCGTAGAGAAATACTTCTTACCAACTCATTTAGGACAAATAAAAGCAAATCCATATTTATACTTCTCATTTTATACCTTAAATATAACTTTCTAATATATTTATGAACAGATATGCTGCTGCACTTATTTTTGCTACTCATTGGGAAATGTCATGAACTTTGAGAATAATTACAACACAAACGTTTCACATAATTTGCAGAAAATAATAATAACCAAGTTTTCATATACGCTTAAAAAACCTATTTCACGCACAAAACAAAATTATTACTGCGAATTTGCCTATTGAAAAGTATAACTACTATTTTCCATCTAAACAGCTCAAAAAAAATTCTACATGAAAATCTTTATTAGAGCATAGTAAATGAAACAAGCTAAAAATAGTGAATTACAATAAAAATTCAATACTAATACAAATCACCACACTAATATCACCTTAAACAAAATTCAAGCCATGCATTGCATGGCCAGGAACTAGTCTTATAATAAAATGTGGAGTTTGATATCAAAAGTTCGATTTTTTTATTTTTATTTTTTTCATAATTACTTCTAATACAAGCGTTTTAATCTTGTACGAACTCTACCATATTTATGGAAAATCTAACCTAAATACATTCGATTGATAATAAATCTAACCTAAATATAAGATCGATATACTATACTTTATGTATACTTATTATATCAAAGCGTAAATATGGTTCTCCTTTAAGCGATTTAAGTCTGGAGAGTTAATGACTAGCCATACAACATGTGTTTTTTTTATTACTAATGTTCTTCATTGACACACGCGCTCCGAAATTGTTTCAAAGAGTGTGTTTGTCTACCATTCTATCACATTATTTTTTGGGCAACTTACAAAAATACCCTTAAAATTAGATGTGTTTTGAAAAATCATATGAAAAGTTTTTTGAAAGTAAAAAATACTGTGTAAAATGAAAAAATGACACAATGTCACTTTTTTTAATAAAAATTATCATTTTTTAAAAAAAGTGACACAAACACTTAAAAAGTGACAAAATTCAAAAGAAGTGACAAGCTCAAAAAAGTGGCAAACACAAAAATAGCATCATCCATTTTTGCAACACCAGTAATCATATTTTTAACATAATCAACATATTGAGGACAATCCACATGAGCATAGTGACGGTTTTTAACATAATCAGCATGTTCAAGACAATCCACATGCTGATTATGTCCGAAAAATATAACATATCATGTCACTTTTTATCTTATTAAATAAGTGACAAAAATTTAAAAGATTACGAAAACTCAAAAAAAGTGACAAAATGTAAAAAAGTGAAAATGTCACTTTTGAAAGTTTAGTGTCACCTATTTTTTATTAAAAAATGACGTACAATGTCACTTTTATTAAAGAGTGATGTTTGTCACTAAAAAAAAGTTATAGAAATTTTAAGAACGTTATTGATAAAAAGTGACAAACACTAAAAAAAGAGGCAAAAATTCAAAAAAAGTCACAAATACCAAAAAAAGTGTCAAAAATTAATGAAAATTTAAAGAAGTGTCAAAATTTTGAAAAAGTGACGAATTTAAAAATACGACACAAATTAAAAAAGCTACATAGATTCAAAAAAGTGGCTGAAAATAGAAAAGTGACAAACAGTGAAAAAAGTGACGTAAATTAAAAAAAAATGACAAAACTTTAAAAAAGGATGAAACATCGATCAAAACTGTAAAATATATCATTTTATGCAAATTCAATCCAAATTACAACTGAAAATGCCCAACAACTATCAGCATAAAATCGATCCAATGCAAACACAATCATTACAAACATAAATTCTCTTTAAGCCAGACCAAGGTATTGCCACAGAAGCATCAAATGAGAAACACTCGAATGATCTAATGGTTTGCGAGATAGAACATGGTTCACGATTGTAGTTCCATATGGAAACATTAGAATTCTCAGTCAATGAGATAATGTGCTTTCCATTTGAGGTCAATGAAGCAAAAATGTGGTCCCCAACACCACCTAGGCCTATAGACAGAGTGAGAGTATTAATCTAGAAAAATTGGAAAGACCAATACAAAATTCAATAGGTGCCCAAATCATATTATTCCTCGAGAAAATTCATGGCCAAGAAAAGCACTAGTTGCATACCTTCGTATCTCCCAATCACAATCAACCCACTACGAATTCTAATTTGGAAATTAGCACACGTGACCAACACTTTGCTCCAGTCCTATAGGATAAACTACTACATTTGTGGAGCATCAAATTAGAATCGAAATAAAGGTTTTATTTTTTCAAGCAATCTTGCTCTCTCTATACTTTTATCTTCTAATTAAAAAGAAGGGTGATAGGCAATTGATGGCAACCTGGAATCCAGTTACCCTTTTGCAGGTCGAACTATTTTTACTGTTTAAGTACATCTGCCCTTCCAGTTGGGAGTGGTTATCTTACAAAAGATAAAAGATAAAACATTAATCAATGCTTAGTCCCTAAAAGTGAGTTTCAGTTTCAGTGCAAAATTATGGCATAATAGTAACAGAGTCATATGGACTTCATGAGCAAAATCAAAACCTTAGAACTATTATAAGATGTGAAATTATATGGCATCATAAGAGCAATTGACCATTATTTTAAGAAAAAAAACCAAAAAAATACTACAAATTACATGATATTTTAAAAAAATGACACCTACCTGTATTAGAGCCAATAATACCACCCTAAACAACAGAAAGAAAAAAATTCCATTAGTGCATCTTATATTTTTGAAGCCACAATTCCATAAACACAATCATATTCAACAAAATCTTGAGAAAATCACTTCGAAAGAATCTTTCAAACCATATTGACATATGGAATTAGATGAATCACAACATCGAACACTTGGTGTGCATATTTTGATGAACTTGCAGAAGTTACTTATCTGGCATGGCATCTACAGTCTGAATTCGCCATGAAATTTCTCTCATGTTTAGTAGAAGAAGTGAGGTCAATTCGCCCAGAGATTGCTGGGGATGCAAATGATTGCGACGGACATTGGATCTGCCATAGACTTGTGAGAAAGTCCCACTGGTTGGTGGAGGTGTAGAGACGATTCAGTATGTGCTTGGTAGGCTGCTGGCTCGGATATGACGGTGGCACTAACTGTGACAAGCTCCATCATCCATGTACTGCACTTTTTTTATTTGTTATGGTAATGAAAGTGGGAAATAGTGAAGAAACACCAATTGGTTCTCTCTCTCTCTCTCTCTCTCTCTCTCTCTCTCTCTACGTTTTGGAACTTGAGATTTTAGACGTATAAATTACGTTTTGAATTGTTTAATTAGTTTAAAGTGTATTTTTCAAATTTGTTCCTCAATTTCCTCTTATTTTTTCTAAAGTACTCATTTTTAACCACACATTCTTCATTAAAATAATATTATATGTAAATAAAAAAAAATTCTTTTTTTTTAACCACACATTTCAACATCAATCACTATTTCATAACATATTATTCACAAAAATGGGGCACAAACACCCCCTTAATATGAAAGGCTTGGATAATCCTAGAACAATAAAGAAAAAAACATGTCTAATCCTTGTACAATTATATTGAATCAAATTATGTGTCTTCTCTACATTAAACATGTAAAAATTATTGTAAATTTTAATTAAAAAAATATATAAAATAAAATAGTACTCAATATCTTGTTTGAAACTCAATGGCTTGTATTCTTGCCAGTACTTGACTCATTGCTGGTCTGTTTTCAGGTTCCATATCAGTACACTCGAGAGCTATTTCTGTGAGTTTTAACATGCCATCATACCCTTCCCTTTCTGCAACTATTTCGACATCCAATATATCTGTCGACCAATCATTGTTTACAGCTGATCGAACCCAATCCGAAAGATCATCAGCACTAGCATCAACTTGAGCCGGCTCCTTGCCCGTTATGATCTCTAAAAGAAGGATTCCAAAACAGTATACATCTGCTTTTCTTGTTAGTTTCCTCCCTTGAGAGAATTCCGGGGTTTTTCCTACAGCCAGTTGCTCCAAGGACAGCACAAGAGGGGAGAATCCATAATCTGTGATCTTAACATGGTAAATGTGGTTTTCGCGTTGAATAAGAATGTTGGAGGTCTTAAGGTTTCCATGAGGAACCATCTTGTGCGAAGGCAAACACTGGTGAAGGAAATTCACTCCTTCCGCGATTTCTTTGACGATGGATAGCCTTGCATTCCAATCCAGTATCGTCTCTCTTTGATATCCTCTATTTTCTGTCATCAAAATCTCGGCAAGTAATGAATTTTGTGAAAATTTCAAAGCGTGGCCAAGGAGAGAGTGCAAAGTACTAACCGTGTAATAGGGCAAACAAGTTTCCATTAGGAACATATTCGTAAATGATTAGCTTCTCGTCTTTGGAGTAGTAAAATGTAATGATCTCGACAAGGTTCTCTTGTTTCATCTTTCCAAGCAAATGCATCTGCTGGATGAATTCCTTTTTGCCCAAATCCTTCATTTCATTAAGTCTCTTTACAGCAACAACAGAACCATATTCTAGTATAGATTTGTAAGTAGTGCCTAGTTTTCCCTTTCCAATTACTTCAGCCGATGCACGAAGCAAATCATTAAGATCAAACATGGTGCGTTTATCCTTATCGAAAAATTCCAATTCTACTCTTCTTTCTGGATCATCTGTGCTCTCTGACCAGTGCCATCGCCTTCTTACAAGGTCTATGGAAGCCTCTCCTGTCGAGGAAATTAGAGGAGAGAAATTCACCTCTAGCAATATTACAAATTAAATTAATCTTTTTATGTGTACATGGCGTACCTGGATGCTCTTCTTTTGTTTCTTTTCCGATGATTTTTCTGTAATAACAGAGAAAAATGAGGATGACAGATAGAGGAACGAGGGCTGCTGCTGCTGCGATTAGACCTAAAGTCCATGGACGGATGGCGCCATTGTCATTGTCTCTCGGTGGAATAGGAGGAGGTGAAGGTACGGGTGCATTGCTTGGAATAGGAGGCAATATTGGACAAGGTCTTCCCAGAGGCCACCCACACAAGTTAGAATTGTTGTCATAAGAACTCGCTGAGAATCTAGCAAGGACGGGCGTTTGAGGTATCTGGCCTTGAAGCTGATTCTGGGAAACATTAAAAGCGACTAAGGATTGCTGGTTGAAAGGAGGAATTGGACCTGTAAGCTCATTTTCTTGGAGCTCTAATTGTTTTAACTTCGTCAGATCAACATAATCAAAGGGTATTGAGCCCGAGAAGTGATTTTGCGAGAGGAAAACATATTCCAGGTGCTCGAGATTTGTGAGATTGGGTAGAGGGCCATCTAATGAATTGTTTCTAAAGCCAAGTTTACTCAAGAAAGTTATGTTTTGCAGAAATAAATGTGGGAGAGAACCAGTCAATTGAATCCCTTCAAGTACCAAATGTGTAACATGCCAATCAAGGCAAGTAATTCCAGCCCATCTGCTATGGTTCTTATGACAAGGAGGACCTGTCCAATTTGAATGTAGATCAAAAGTTGAGTTAACACCATCTCTAAGTTGTATCAAAGCATCTCTTTCATCAGGAAAATACTCATTGACGCCATCGCCCTCAGTGGATGGTCGGAAAAAAAGTAACCCAAAAATAATAAATATGCTTACGCGAGTTGCTGATGCCTTCATGTTGAATAGACTATCATGTCCGTAGAAAGAGAGAACAGTTACCGGTGGAGATTCGAGTTATAGAACATTTATAAAAATGGTTGACATTGTCCAATTACAAGATAGTTGAGGCAGGCACGATTGATAGTATTTCCAACATTTTGAGACACAAAGCGGATGCTCCAAAATATCCATTTCCCATATTTTTATATTATTAAGCAGATACAGATATACCTGTTCTTGTTTATGTATGCATTTAAATATTCTGTCGACAGCTCGTTTGGTTCCAAGACTTCGGAAATTATAATAGTTGCTTAGCTGTTTGACAAGAGTGTTGAACTTTCGTAACATCATTGTTGTAAACAAGATTTATGTTGGATTTTTTAATTTTTAATTTTTGAAAAAAGAAGCACAAAGAAAGAAAGACACAGAATTCGTCCCGTTTAGCACTCAAGATTAAGAATTCTACTCTTTCGAAGAAGCCAAATCCTTTGAACATGACGAGTAAATCCTTCGATTCGTTGAGAATCTGCACTCTTATTATTGCGAGGATAACCCCAAGGTGGTCGATTAGCGATATCTCAACTCCCATCCCAGCCAAAAAACCCCAAACAAAAAGAAGACAATTGAACTCAAAGAAGGATCTAAAACGAAAACAAGGATGACCACCAAGACACGAGTTATGTATTAATGAACACTGTATATATATAACAGTACTCAGTATGATAACAAAATACATACCATGCTTCAAAAAAGAAAAGAGAGGAAAATCAAGAGAATATTCTGTCAATTATTCTTCATCATCAGAACTCTCATACGCTACTAGCAAACTTTGTACTGGGTTATCCAGTTTTCTTTCCTCTCCCGCTTTGTTTAATCTGTCAACAACACTTTTATCCTTTTCCTTTTCCTGAGCACTTACAGATTCATGTGTATCAGATTCCTGTCTACTCAGAATCACAGAGGATTGCTTTCCATCAGAAGGGCTAGAAACTCTCTGCCGCTTCGGCTTCACTTCCACCATCCTCTTCAGCAAATCTTGCTGCCTGCGCATCAGCAAAAGTTTAATTTTGTACCTCAGTCTATAATTCTTATTTTCGTGTGCCAGAGGGGGGGACTATGGATAGTGAGAGAGATAAGCATACCTGATTCCACTCTTTGGCTTGGGCTCAACACGAAGTGGCAATGGAACTGATGCTGTGGAGGTCTCAGACACAGCCTTGTGATTGGCGGTTAAGAAAAATATAGAAGCAAAAACGACAAGCTACATTATTAGAGGTACTGTGTAAACACTTTCATTTCTTTGCTTCTGGACGCCATAGTTAAGCCACCAGATTGAGAAAAATACATCAGATAGCATTTCGCAACTTCTAAATCATTCAATATGTGCGTAAAAGAAGGTTTATTACTGCCTATAATGCTGCAATTTCCCAATTTTTCGAAGCAGACAATTTAATGACATCACATTATTATTTCTTAAGAAATGTTTATTGAAATCTCACCATCCTCCACTAACCTTTCTTGCCCAAAAGTTGTATATTTTAAATAAGGGTAAATTGCACAATACACAATATTGTAACGAAGGATTCTGAACCTTTGATTTCTAGCACCCAGAGTCCTAAACCTTTCAAACGCCTACGTCAGAAGTCCTTTGGTGACAAAACCCTTCAGTCTGATAATTTAAAGTTCATTAAAGTGAGTAAAATGACCACTATACCCTTAGTTTGATTTAAAACACATAAATAGAAAAAATAAAACAATATAAAACAACAACAAAAACAAAAAAGGAATAAAGAAAAAAATGAAAAAAAAAATAATACATACACCCTTTTCCCCATATCTCCGCCCCACCCACTCCCAACCTCAATTCACTTAACATATATGCATTACTTCTACAGTTTGACTGGTGTTTCTTTCAACTCACCGTTGCCGATGACACAATAAAAGAACAGGAGGCTGATTAATTGATTACATAAACTGCTAAGTAAAATCGAATCAAAAGATTGAAAGTGGCACTATAAATTTGATGGCCCACCTCAATAACATTGAAATTTCAAGTATGGGTATCTGTTAAGGGCAATTGGAAAGTTCAAATTACTCAATGGTATAAGATTTGGATTTTCTTGGTCTCCTGGGCAATATATTTTGATGGGCTCAGGGAAATTGGAAAGTTCAAATTACATGGTATAAGATTTGGATTTTCTTCATCTCCTGGGCAATAGGTTTTGATGGGCTCATTGGATTTGGT